CCCTTAGACCAACAGGGTTTGCTGCACACACACACACACACCTCACACACCACACGTATGACATAATCATACACATATAGAACTCGTGTCTTCCTAAGCCGGATAATTCAAGAGCCGAGCCCACAAATAAAGCATGAGGAATAGGGCTCCCGCGGAGACGCGGGACTGCTCACCGAGTCATCCACAGTTGCGAAACAAAGCTATCTCATAGAACTCGTGCTTTAAGGCCCCTGCTGGTTAGGAGAGAGCTGGCTGTGCGCCAAGTCCATGAGGACCGTGAACCCGTGGGCGTGCGCCGTGTCAATCAGCTCCTTCCCGCAAGAGAAGGAAGAGCTTACTTACAGTACCGAAGACGTGAACCAGAGGTTCAGAGCAAAAGTGAGGAGCAAAGCATAGCAAAGCATAGCAAAGCGTTCAATCTGTCAAGCTTCTGCTCACATAGCCGTCTCTCCCGTGATACTCTCGCAGTCGGTCGTGGAGTCTCCTTGAGCTCATCGGGAGTTCCGCAGCGGCTGGAGGCCGCGAAGAAGCTGGTCACGTGTCGGCCTCAGAGAGCCAGGATCCAGTGAAAGCTTCGGATGTCGGTCTCGGTGTGTGAAGCAGTTAAGAATGAAAGGAAGAAACCTCCAAACTCCCGAAGAAGAACCGTTCTCCCCTTCAAAAAAATCCACTCCAAGGACCCGGCTCTCCGAGTGCTCCGCCACGTCCAGGAACTGAAAAGCACCCGCGAGCGCTTCAAGCAGAGAAGAAGAAAACACAAACAACTCAAACAACACAAACAACTCTCTTCTCTTCTCTTCTCCTCTCTCTCTCTTCCGCTTTATATTCACTTTAAGTAAGAGAGAGCGCTCCCCGCCTGGAGGGCGTTGTAGCCCAAGCTCTTGATCCGGGGAAGGAAGGCCTTGAACTCCAAGTACCTCCCAATCTGAAGCCAAAGCCAAAGCAATAGCCAAACGGCTTTCTAACTGCTCCAAGCTGCTCATTAAGTCGTCGGCCCTCGGCCCTCTCCGACTGAGCCACTGGCGTGCATGAAGCGCTTGCCACACGCAGCTCGTAGATCTTCAGGCTACGGGGGCGAGGTGGCCTGAAGCATGCAGCAAGGCAGCAAGGCGTAGGATGCAAGAAGATGTAGCTGCTGTAGCTTCTGCGTTTCTTGCTTTCTTGCATTTTGCTTCTATGAAGACTTGCCTTGCGTGGCGCATCACATAGCGCTCAATGGGAGGCGGCTCCCACATGACGCCGTTGTAGACGTTCAGTGCTGTCTTCTGCAGATCGACAGGGTTCACTTCATTTATGAAAGTGAAAGGTCTTTTGAAGAGTAAAAGGCCTCTGCAAACTTCGCCCATGCCGGCACACGGTCGAAGGTGCCGCAGTCGGCTTCCACTCGGAGTCCTCGGAGAGAAAAGCGGAGAAAAGAAAAGCTGTTTTTTTTGGGGGGTTTTGGGGTTTCTGGGGCCCGAGAGCTGGGCGGATCTGAGACCTGCCGAAGTTGTGTTTGGAAAAAGTTCTCGAGTTTTGCTCTTTTCTTCTTTCACTTCATTTCACTTCCCTTTCTTCCCTTTCTGCTTCGGGGCCTGTGAGGCACCAGCCACCTGCCATCCCTACGGTCGGCCAGCTCGATGCTCCAGCGCCCGAACTCGCCTCTCTACCGCTTCTGAGTCAGAGAAATTCAGAGAACATGCACAGGAGCCATAAAACCATGCCTCTTGTGAGAGGATGCGTCTTCTCCTTAGATTTCTGAGAGATTCTGCAAGCATCCCCTATACCGCTCTTTGCGATAGCCCGTCGAGCTGCAGCACAGCCAAGCTGCCCAGCCATTGAAGTCTCCAACGAGGAAGACTCTCTTCGCGGCGGGCAACCACTCAGTAAAAATCCACTTCTTCTCCGCTTCGTGCCTAGATATTGCGGGGAACCGTCAAGGGCCAAGGGCAAAGATTCCCTCCTCCCAATCCAGGTAGGCCTTTGGAATCCAAAGACCTTGTAGCCCTCTGCGAAGGCCTCGATGCCACCTTCAGCCTTCCGGAACCTGAGCAATACAAGAGGCAAGAGGATCAAGAGAACAGGAACAAGAGGGTGCTGTGGCCAACTTTTCCTCTCGGTTCGGGGCTGCTCCTTCCAGCCGCGGAAGGCATTCACGCGGCGCATGATCTGGGATTCCTTATAGGCCACCAAAAGACATCCTCTAAGCCTTGTAAGCTTTACCTAAGCCTTTTCCGTACCTGCCTATTGCACCTATTGCGTCATTGCGCTCGTCTCTTCCTCCGAGTCTCGTGTGCGCGGAGCTCGGGGTCATCCTTGAAAATTCCCAGCATTCTCCTGCGAAAGAACCAGCTGCCAACCAGCACAAACGGAGACCCGGTCTCCTCCCCGTGGGCGCACGCCGCGGCGGCCAGCCTAAATGCAGGACGGATGCGGAGACAGGCCGAGGATTCACCAGGACTTGCCGAGGCCCAAACCCACGCCCTTTCGAATGGGAGCAAATGGTGCGTTTGCACGGCTTGCCAAAACAAGGTCAACCCGGCTTGCAAGACTTGGGTTAAGCGATCTAGTCTTAAAAATGCGGACTAAGAAGCTATTTGCGAACCGTAGCATTCACTTGCAGACTCCGTGCGACTGAGCCAAACCAAACCACATCCAGGATATGCCGAGCATCAAGGACAGGGTTCATAACTACGCCAGTCTACAGCAGGTGAGCTCCTTGCGTGAGCTCCGCGCGCCTTCATCCACTTTACTCCAAATCCACAGTTCTGAACACACCACACATGAAAAAAGATGGCTCCACAATCGGAATTGCTTCCCAACTTCCGTTCGCCGGCACGACAGCATGTCTGTCGTGGTCATGTTGCATGGCTTTCAACTGGGCTCAGACTCCATGGAAGCTGGAAGCAACAAGTAGCCTTCAATGCCGCTTCAGCTCCTGGATGTTCCTGGGCGCTGAGTGCAAATCTCAAGCAGCTGTGTGCGACGAAGAATTGCACACACAAACCATTGAGGGGGCCCTGCATCGAGACATGTGGCACAACCGGGATTTTGAAGGCACGGGGCCGTTCGCATGGGGTGTCACACCCACAACATCCCACAACCACCGCCCAACATCTCCCGACTCAGCCCACTAGACTGCCGACCCAGCTCCTCCGCTCCCCAAGATGTTTGGGAGACTGCACGATCATAAATGCAACTGAACAGCGGGATGCAGGTCATGCAGGTCGCTTGGGAAATGGAACAGGTTGCGAACAAACAAAGTAAGCTGCTGAAAAATCAGCAGCATTCATCACCGTAACCGTGCTCCCAACAAAAATAGGGCATTCTTGCTGTTCGTGGTCCAGATGTCGTGAATCAAGACGTTGGAGAGGAGTCGAGGTGAAACTTCAGTCGATCCACGCAGCCGCTTCGCTTCATCAGTCTCTGGCGCTCTGCAAACTGCTACGTTGCATGCAAGGTGCAGCTGAGTTTGCAGCACAATGGAGAAGTATGCGTGGTGTACACTGCTGTGTCTGCAACGCTTTTGGACGGCTACACAGATGTTCCTTCGAAGAATGCGCTGCTGACCGTGCAATTCCAATCTATCTCATTTGGATCCCAAGACCGAGAGTTAAGGTTTATCCTGCGTGTTTGCAAGAAGGTCAGGTGCCACACTACCACAGCTGCCCAGTGACACTCAACTTTGGCACGCCGTTGTCTTTGTCCAAAGACACAAAACCACGACAAGCCATCGTCGGAGCCGGTTCCACCTCCAACATCCTCCCACGCCTCCTCGTGCAAGACAGGCCATGATGACGGTCATGGTACAAGTGCAAGTTTTCTGGGCTGCTTTAAATGGCCGATGGGGTTCCCTCTCCAGCATCTCTCTAGGAGCTTTTGTCTGACAAGATCGAACATCGGGTGGATGAGCATGCCGCGCGTTGCTACGCCATCAGCTTTGCCGTGACAAATTGCCTAGCCTCCGCGCAAATCAAAGATAGCATCGATGCTGGCACTGTAGGGTCTCAGGCTTGTGTTGCAGTGCTTTGCAATACTCTAGGCCATTCGAGGCTCTACACTTCGCGGACCCTTGCGCATGGTGAAACCGGAGAGCCTTTGCCCCCTGAGAGGACGTGTGCCAATTAACACGATCCTCCGTTAAGTCCAGGAACGGTCTGCACCTCTGCGCCGTTGGAATTTGGTCTCTCGTGGTGTTGCGGAGATGGGAGAGGGACTTTTTGGGGTTGAGCTCCAAGTTAGTTGGTGCCTGAGGCACGGCAGAGCTCACCTCGGCTCCACGGCTCAGGCGGAGGTGAGCTCAGAGCTGAGACTGCTCAGACTGCTCAGAGTCTGAGCTCAGAGGCTGTCAAAGTCATCGGTGCTCAGCCACCCGCTCCTTGAGCCTCGGGATATTTCACATCAGCGAACGCAGCAAGAAGCTTCAAGGTTTTTGACAGAAGGTGTCAGTGAGAACTTCGAGAGCCCGAGAGCCCGACTCCTCAATCCAGCAGTCCCGCATCGCCTGCTTCGTCAAGCATCGCAAGCTTTTACCAACTTTAAGGCTGCTTCGCCATGCCGTAGGAATTCGAGCATTTAACGTTTCTTTGAGCACCCCGAGGTGTATCCGAGTGTCTACAAGCGCTGCTTGGTAGGCAGTCGAGACAAGTCGAAACTGCGATCTGATGCAACCCTTATTGGCCCAGGATGGACCACGATGGCCACATTGTTCCTGGGGCATGCCTTCCCAACCTCAGAGACTTTGGAAGATGAAAAATCTTTGAGTTCTGAAGGCGCCAACATGTGCACAAAGAGCGTGAAAAGGGGGGGGGGGTGAGACAGGTACAGTCCTGTTGCCTTGCTGTAACAGGGTGACTGACCAACACTGCAGGTAAACTGAATGTCAGGCAAACCCAACACTCGCTCTTCACTTTTGCTATCACGATCTCAAAGCTCTGCGTGGGTTGGAATGCAGGTCGAAATGAATGGCTTCAGCAAGGTAACAGGTAAGTACCCTATTGCTTCAAGCTTAAGGGGGAGCTTGAGCCAAACATACAATTCGACCTTGTTGCAATACCACTTGAAAAGATACTTGAGTTGTAATGCCTTTATGTGAGGGTACATGTGTAGTAATTTAGACCCCCCACGGCGAATTACAACTAGTTGAATGAGTCGGAAACAGAAGCTCCACTTTTGTGCATCAACATAAGACAGGGTAACAAATCAGAGAGCTGTGAGACATCATCGGTAGGGCGAACGTAGACCGATCATTGTGAAACATACATGTTTTCCCCTCTCAGTCGGTGTCAGGGCGAACCTAGACACAAGATATTTCCATAGCACACCAAAATGGCGATTGGAAAGCAAAGGGGATTGCGAATTGAAGCCATCACTCATCCATTGCGTTGAAGTCAAAATTTGGTTGGTACTGAGTTACATAGTTTTGAACATCATCGGTGATTTGTCCAATTCCACTGCGGAACATAGTACTACGTGCCCTCCCGAGCCAATCCTGCACATTCTTGCAGGAGGCCCTGTTCCGAAGCTGCCCATTGATGATATCCACGAACCTCTCCTTGTAGAACTTGTAGTACTCGGGACCCAATTCGCACGCCGATGTACAGAACCTCGGGGTCAAGTCGATTTCTTTTCTTCTGGGCTTCGAAAAGGCCGGCCTTCAACGCAAATACAAAGTGTGCCGTTCTGTATTGGCTCTCTGGGCATGTTCCGGTATGCCACGTACTTGAACTTCTTGATTCCCAACGCGTTTGAGATCAGTGATCGAACCTTGGCGCTGATGATGCTCCGGTGACCTTCACCTTGATTGGGACGAAGTTTGCAATATCCTTCAGAATTCAGAGCAATGAGCGGTGCAAGATGCTCATTGACATTCATGGTGGAATACGCCCAAACATAGATGTCCCAGACGTGAGATATGGTTCAGATTGCTTCATGGCTGCGGCCAAGGTTCTCACACAATAAAAGAGAGCTCTGTTGCAATGTGTACCTGTTCTTGAACATCCAACGGTCCCTGGCGGCCTGGTAGGCTTCAAGCCATCTCCCCGGCGCCAATCAAAGTATTCCTCTTTTGTTGGCGCACGAGGAAGTTTGGACTCTTCACCCAGGAACGCCGGACAGTGAAATGGCTTGGCGACGAAGGGCGTATGGAACGCGTCATTCCGCTTTTTCATCTCTCGGAAGAGCCGGTGGGTTGGTGGCCCTGTTGCTGGAGACGGAGATGTACTCATTTGAGTAATCATCTTGCTCACCATATTAGTCAAGCTCCTCCGGTTCCCCCTGGAAGTTCTCGATGTCAATGTTGGCGGCCTGTTCTTCCACGGACCGCGCCCCGGCATCATTGAGTTCTTCATCTGGCACGGTTTGTTGAGCAATTTGTTCATCGGTTGATTCGACTTCGACATCAAGAAGAATCTCTGAATCCAAAGAGCGGGGCGTACCCAGCCCAGACTCTCCTGATCCATGAACCGACCAGCTGACACCATTGGCAAAAACGGCACATCCCCTCGAACAAGTTCGTGCGGTGCAACATAGCACGTGTGATATGATGCTTGAGGTCTTTCGCTTGTGTGTCATTTGGTACACAATCAGGAACCTTGTGCATAATCAGTGCTAAGTTGATGCGGTACGTGAAGGGAATGTTAACGATGTCAGAGCGGAACTTGTTGGCAATCTTCCCGACAAATTGATTTGAGGCCCTCAAGTAGTCCGCCCGCTCCATCAGCTGTGTCACAGACAAATTCGTCAACAAGAGATGGCGAGTGGATTCTTGCGCCCATTCCACGTGGTCCCGAAAGCGCGAAGATCGCTCTGACCTCTGAAAACGGGATCTTGCATCGACACAGAATCACGCCATTTGTTGCAAGCCTCGAGCCATAGTCGACCAATGCGCTGATTGGCACATAGATTGCTATGCCTCTCTCCTTGTCCTGGGAAAATCGGTTCGTGAAATTCGAAGTGTATCTTGGACCCCAGGGAGGATACGGAGAAAAATGGACATCCTGTCTGCGATGTCTTGGCCGCCCAGGCAGTAGTCCCGATTTGGCAATCCAATTCAGTGAACCTAGTGAGGTCATGCGCCAAGTGCCTCCAACAGCATGCATTACTTTCTCTGTGATGGGAACGGTGGTGGGCTCCAAATCCACCGCGCTGTTTGAGTGATCTGAAATGCATCGCACTGCGAGGGGACGAACCCAGCCCACGCGCGATCTACCTTTTGCCGAGGCAACATCACGCACATCAGGCTATTCGCAAAACATGTCTTTCACGGCGGCGAAGTCTTGGTTGCTCAAGTTGGGCTTCAGTTTTGCTCCCACAAATTCCATCCTCTTGTTCT